AATTCAAAATTTCATAAAATCTCTTATATTTGTTTTTTAAAAATAAACTTTATTAAAAAAAAAAATATATATATATATAGATTACCTTTAGATAAGCAATAGTTAACGTTGGCCTTACAAATGTCCGTGGAATTTGAATCAACAATTTCTTCGCAAAGTTCATAAGCTTTGGCTGCAATTATTTTACCGTCTTGTATCTAAAAATAATGAAAAAACTTAGGAGAAAGGGCAATAGGAGTCAGGCGTAGATAAAGTTATGCAAATTCCAAAAATATAATAAGTAAAACTTCTTTATTACAATCAAACACTTTTACATGTTTCGGCTTATTTTTGAGCCCTCTTCAGAGACAATAATGTATAACAAATATACTAAGAAGACCAAGGGAAGTCCTAGCATTTTGAGCTCCCCCACAATCAGAAATTCAAATAAGTCTTAACTGTCTAGTAAAATATTTTCCATAAGGGGATAAAAGGGTCAAATAGTAAACTAAGTATAATTAAAATTTATTTGAAAATAATTGATAAATATCTGAGAGTAAGGAAGCTCACATTGTTCACAATGATACTACATCACAAACATGATAATATTCAACAACCGGTCGCTTGAATATATCGACCAGTCAGCATCAAACACAGTGAGCCTGTTTAGTCTAATGCTACCAGTTAAAATTATCCAGCAAATAAAAACCAATTCAAAAAGACCCTGTTACTGTGCGCACTCAACGCTGACTAGCTTCCTAGTAACAGGGTCTTTTTGAATTGGTTTTTATTTGCTGGATAATTTTAACTGGTAGCATTAGACTAAACAGGCTCACTGTGTTTTACGCTGACTGGTCGATACATTCAAGCGACCGGTTGTTGAATATTATCATGATTGTGATGCAGTATCATTGTGAACAACGTGAGCTCCCTTACTCTCGGATATTTATCAATTATTTTCAATTAAATTTTAATTATACTTAGTTTACTATTTGACCCTTTTATCCCACTTATGGGAAATATTTTACTAGATTATTTGAATTTCTGATTGTGAGGGAGCTCACAATGCTAGGACTTCCCTTAGTCTTCTTAGTATATTTGTTATACATTATTGTCTCTGAAGAGGGCTTAAAAATGAGCCGAAATATGTAAGAATGTTTGATTGTAATAAAGAAGTTTTACTTCCTATATTTTTGGAATTTGCGTAACTTTATCTAAGCCTAACTCCTATTGCCCTTTCTCCTAAGTTTTTTGAACTTTAATAAATCTTTGTTAGTGATTTTGGTTTAAAAATAATGTATGTTGTTCTAAAAATAATGTATATTGTACTATTAAACAGCACAATTTAAAATTAAAAAATTTATTTTCATATTTACTTTTAAATTTACTACCTTTATGCTAATTAAAATACATAAAAAATTGCTATTAAATTATTAACATTACATTAAATCTGATAAATTTTTTTTAGAAAATTATATATTATAGTACAATATGTAAAAATTCTTTACAAAAATGAGAAAATTAAGTTAAATTAAAAATGTACATAATGATTGTAATCACCGCACATACATATGTATGTGATTTTGTATGTATGTGTGTTTTTATTTCTATATAATTTATGTTTTTAATAAATACTTACCGAGCCAACTTTTTCCCCTACACAATACAATACTGAAGGATCTCTTATGATAGAATAATAACCTGTAATATAAATTATATATTTATTAATATAATTTCAAATGTATATATGTTCTCACAATTAAATTCATGAATAACACTTAAATTCCAATATAATTCCAATATATAATTTTGTTTTAATCAATATTAATTTCTAAGAGAATTTACTTATTTCTGTATTTATGTTAGCAGTATTTCGATTGTTAGAGTGCCATATTCTTGGACTACTTCGACTATAATATCATTGGAAATATTGTTGATAATTTCCTTCAATTCGTGATATTGTTATTATTTTTTATGAATCTTTTAAAAATCTTATCATTTTCATAATTTTTATATAGAATCCTGTATTGCAAATTTTTAAAGTAATTTTATATTAATTATTTACTCGTTTTTAAAGTGTTATTTACAGGTAAAGTAAAAGAAAAATGACAGACTAATTATTTTGTTTCACTTCTAATATTGTAAAACATAATTAAATTCGTTTTGATTCTATTTAACACAAACGTAGATAATTTAATGTTTCAAAAGCCATTGCTTTAAATTGTAAATGTAAAATTTTAAATTTATGTTTGATTTCATAATTCGATTATTGTAATCGTAATTGATATGTTCTTATGTGTAAATATTTGAGAAAATATTATAAATATAACAATTTGTCTTAAGCTCGGTAATAATAGTTGCCTTACAATGGCGTAAGTTGTTACAGTTTATCTACCAGAAAATTTCTATTTTTAATGTTTAAAGACATTGATACAAATTAGAAAAAAAGTTGATTAGCTAATTAAAAATGTACTTAAATCAGTGCATAGGAATCTTGATAATGTATACAGTATTCTGGAAAAATTCTAATAAAATTATTCTAGCAATAAAATTATAACAATTAGTCACGGTTTTCTCTACCTCAATTATGAAGCTATTGACATTTTTGATTAATAAAGTTTGAATTAGAAGTAGTTTTGAATTAGAAGTAGTTTGAGTTAGAAGTAGTTAGAAATTAATATTTTTCTTAAGTTTTTGTTTGTCAAATGCTATTAATTTTTTATAATAACTTAACATTCAATATTTAATGTTGAATATTTCATACTTACACAGGAATGGCGTATTTCTGCATTTTGACACTTCGTTCGCACATTGTTCCAGCGCGTCACAAAACGCCTGATTTGCATCATTTGCTGCATAAGCTACCTAACACAAAAAAAATATTCGAATTTATGTGTAAACATTTTGTATATAAGTACTTCAATTTTGAAAATTGTTAAACATGGCATAATATAATTTCTTTTAGCTATAATAAATATTTAATGATTGTATTTATAATAAATAAGTTACAATATAGCATTCATATTTATTAAAATATATGTATTTTTTCAGACAGTTTTAGTTAAACTTGTTCAGTATTCTACATTAGAGATTCTCCAAGCATGGGTCAATTTTTAGTAGAACGCAATAATTTTACACTACGTCATTTCATATAATAGTACAAACTTACATACGAGTACTACAATTTATATCTATACAACGTACATACATGTGATATTGGATTTTTGGAACAACGATAGAAATCAAAACCAAATATAGATATAAATTACAATTATTAAACTGTTTAAGTTTAACAATTCGAATCACTGTTGATATGAAAATCAACAGAAATAGTAAACAAGATCGTTCTTTACACATATTTCATTAGATATTTCAGAAAAGGTTTATAAAATTACGGTCAATAAAAATTTAAAAGAAAGAATCAAATAATATATATATATATAACATGAGATATTAAAAAAAATGAATACAAATATATAATTTACTCAAACTAGCATATGTATTAACTAGATGCATTGCAATATTATTGTTTTAAATGTTGATCACGACACAAATTTGGGAAACCCTTTTAGGTTGTATATTGAGTATTTCTCCACAATATATATATATATATATTCAAAAATGCACTTACAAAATCATTTATTGCACACATCATACATGATATGCGCATATTATATCATATAATATTTTATTATTTCATGCGTTGTACATAAAATAATAAAATATTATCATAGTAGATAACATTTTATTATAATATACGTCTTTAACGATCGCATTAATAAAATGTAATAAAAATATCGTAAAGTGTATAATATAATAAATATAAAACTACGTCAAAGAAAGAGATCGTATGTTCTGATATCTATAAATAAGCAATTTTTAAGAGAGAGTGCAACTTCATAAAAAATAATCGTAATGAGATGATCCAGAAAGGATGTTAAAGCTTTCGTATAGCTTCGTAAATAATCAATTAGAATATTATCTGAAATACCGATCTAAAAAGTAAAAATTTCAAGTTTTAAAAAAAACTTCAAGCTTTAAAAAAGTCTTCAAGCTCGGATTTCAAGTTTTTCCTCTTTCTCTAATAAGTAAAAATCATCCTAATTTCCAATTTTCCAATTTTAACATAGAGATTCATGAAAATTAGAGCAAAAAAGTGAATTATAAATTGAATATTCTATTTGACAACATTAAACTTGTAATTATTATATTAATTAAAATTATTTACTTAAAAGTATTTATGTTTCACTACAAAAATTTAATTTTAAAACGAAGATGGAATTAGAGAAGTAACGTAAGTTTTTAATTCTTACCTTAGTTGGATTTTTTACAAAGAATTGTAAATTTAAAAAGAGGATCTTGCACACATACCTTATGAAAATTAAATTTCGAATTGGCTGAAGATTTAATCTGTTGTAACCTTGATAAAAAGTCTATAATAACGACTCTCTACAATGAACCGTTTCACATATATAAGAGGCGTCATTTTTCAAAACTGTCTAATACCTACTACAATATCTTATTTTGGTAAATATATACAAAAGGTCAGCCCCTTAAAAAATTAATGACCTTGGCATATGTCAAGGTCATGACTCTGAGTGAGCTCCAACAAGTTTTAACCATCGCTTTAAAAAAAGTTATTTGTTAAAAAGCTTTAACAAAAAAAGTTCGAAAAATAATGTCTGTTTTACTATACAGGATGATTTGAAATAATTATGAACATATGGAGATTTTTGGAAACATCGGCAGTAGAATTGGACGACGACTTGAATAAATGTGTATAATGTATAAATTTGGAGGAGTGGAAATACAGGAAGACGTTATGGAGTTCTTCGTACGTCTAAGGAGTTCCTGAGCATGGTTTCACCGTTTTAAGTTTTGCGGCGTACAGTTACAAATTTGTTAGAGTTTAAGATAAGTTTAGAAAATTAAGGAAGGAGATCATACTAATGTTTATTCTTTTTAAATGTTACTGAAGATGACCTGATGAGGGTCGAAACGTATATATTTTGATGTAACAATTGATGAAAACATTCGCAATAATAACTAGCGTTGGCTTTTATGCTTTGTTATATCTTATCGAATATAAATGTATATAAGTAATTCCAGGTAATAAAAATATAACATATTTAATTAAAAAATATTGTTAAATATATTAATTATAAAATAGATACACGATATTAAGGGAAGGTCGTTGATATCAACATACCATTTTGTTTTTAGATAATATTTCTTAAAGAAAAGGTAAAAATAAAACTTTAAATACATAAATACAAACTAAAAAGTGCCTTCTATCAGATAGTATGAGCAGATCTTATAATAATGTTTGTAATTTTGCAATCTTTAATTTTTTTCGTAAGATAAGCAAAAATGAGCGTCTAACAAAATGAGTTCCAAAACTGATACAATGGATAGTAATGCCGCATATTCCTATTCCTTTTTTTTCACAGAAATTATCTGAATAAATTCTATAGTAAGAAATACAAATAATGGCCGTAACGGTTAAAGCTAAATTTTTAATGCTTAAATAATTCAATCTGAATTACTGTATATATACTTGTATATATACCATATTTATAATCATTTGAACTACGCGCCGAAATATCCGAATAAAATACCTACAAGTTGAATGTAAATAAGATTTTCTAGAATCTTTTCACTTTGATATAAGACATTTTGGTTGAATTGTATGCGTATATACTTTATGATGTTGTGCAAGATGTAAATATGTAATGCAATAATTTTTCAAAAATTTTTGCCATACACATACCATTAGCTTCAGCTCCGATAGAATTATTTGACGCTATAAAGCAACATTACAAAGATTAAGTTAATATGTTCCATAATTTGTTTTACTTACAGTGCCGATTTACGCTGCATTCCGATTTTATATTTAAAATTATGGGAAAAAGGTATTATGAAAAAACTAAGAAAGAAAATAATATAAATAAAACTGATTTAGAAAAGTATTATACAAGCATTTAAAACGACGTAATATTATGAATAATATAATCACTATTATTTAAATTACGCAATTTGCAAAAGAAAGAATTTTATTTTCGCATTCGTATAATTCGTTTTTAGCTGATTTCGTATAGAAATAAGTCACGAATATACGAATTATGCATTTACACTTTTTTAATTAGCTAAAGGGTCACGTTTTTATTAGTATTAATAAAGTGCAATTCTTAGTTTCTAAGGAATAAGAGTGTGTCGCTTTAGAAGACTTATGACGGTATCAACGACTTTCCTCTATATCAAAGATGGTAAATTTCCTAACGCGCTAAAACAAATTATTATTATCATTTACGTTTATCATTACTTGAATACGTCAAACACTATTCCATCCAAGGATGAACATAAAATATGTTTTCATAATAAATATAATTTCTGACGAACGTGTGTGAAAATATGTCCGCTTATTTAACACCTAAATATTTATCAATGTTTTTATCAAAGTTCGTGTGGCTAAACAGGGAAGTAGATAATAGTGTAGTTTTTATACGTTGATAGTTTTTTTGAATACACTATTAAAAAATATGCAAGAGATATTAACTCTTTTGGCGCATTTTTATCAAGCAAAATTTTTATCAAGCAGTTATAACTTTAATAGTTATATGTATATGTACATCACGACAAAAGTTTCACAAATATTTCTAAGAATCAAAAATTTTTATTATAACGTCATATCATTTTGTAATACAATTGAAACAAAAAACAGGTTTGGAATAACATATGAATAGATTTGAAATTGATTAGATCGCAGAATTATATGTAAGGTAGAGCGTGGCTATATGAGTATATAGGGGTAAGTTGGGAAATGTTAAATATCTCGATAATCATTGAGCTTATACTACTGGATGGGAATGGCCTATCCAAGCAATGAGTGGAAAGTGTGAGCAAAGTCTGAGAGACAGAAGATGTATTTCTGTCCTGCCCAGTAATTTTTCTTCTTTCTGCGCATGTGCCAAAAGAGGATAGAAGATGATAGAAAAATAATTCCGTCCTTCAGATCTTGCTCACAGCTCGATGTCCGTATTCCCCCTCCAGTAATATATAAGCTCTATGTATAGTAATTTTTCTTCTTTCTGCGCATGTGCCAAAAGAGGATAGAAGATTATAGAAAAATAATTCCGTCCTTCAGATCTTGCTCACAGCTCGATGTCCGTATTCCCCCTCCAGTAATATATAAGCTCTATGTCGATAACCAAGACGTGTACGGACATGTGGACGCTTGCTTCAGATAACACAAAGATGCAGACTACTGTGCTGAATACGCCAGTCTCCGCTCGATTATCAATCGAGAAATAAGAGAGCTTTTCCACTTTTGTGTACTAAAAGTATAGTTATTACTCAAGGACTGCCATTGCGCGTATAATGCGCTTTAAATGTATATTGAAATCCGCATAAAAAGCCGATTGTAAATGCACTTTTAAAGCACATTTTTGTCCTGCATTAAATCCGCATTTAATGCACTTTTTGGCAATGCATTTTAAAAAGTATCTATTCTTATTGAGAAACCCAATTAAATCGACTTGTTTAAGCGGCAAATACAGATCTTTGCATAATCCGAGAAAAAATATTTCATATAGTATAATTATGTATAATTAAATATTCCTGTAATTGTATAAAAAATTAGCGTATTTTATATATATGATTATATATAAAATATGTCCATTTATGTAACATTTTTTCCCGGGAATGCATAACACATAGGGTAACTCCGGTATATACGCCGCACCTATCAGAAACTTAATTTATTAAGTATTAGTTAATTACTATGTTTAAAGTAAACGAAATATATCAGTAAAAACTTTGTACTGTTTACTATGACGAAAAAAAATATTAGAAATCCGAAA